TTTCGTACTTGCATTATTTGTTTCAATATTATCTTTGACTATTGAACTATTGTTTTCAGTTTCGTTGAATGAAGAAAAATCTACGGTTGTCATATTTTATTTATCTTTCATAAGAATAATATAACGATAACGTCTGATCAAAAAGTACGCTTCTACGCTTTTTTATTAGCGTTGGCGTTGTACAATTCGTCGAAATTTTTCTCATACACAACATACCTGATATGCAGATGCAAATGCAGTCAAAAATCATTTAGCGTTAGGTATATGGATTTGATTGTCGGAGAATGTTTCTCCGCTTTTTCTTTCACGGACGGAAGTCTTTTTAAGCAAATTTCGTACATACGTGCATAGTGAATGTAGTAGATTTTTGATAATAAATCTTTTGATACAATATAGTCAAGTGATTTAATATCCTTTGAGAATATCAGTCTAGCAATTTATTTACATAATCAGTTATTTATTTCTTCTCCAAAATGTTTAAGACAACACATGTTTTCGTATAGCTATTGAAATTGAATATTCAGATGTCCACTTCCCGTAGAAACTTTGTTAATGTGAATTCTTCGTTAAAGTGAGTTCTTTTTTATTAAATTAATAAATTTTTAAAATCTTTGTTATAAAGTGAGATTCGTTTAAGTGAACCTTCGTTATAGTTTTAAATAAGAAATTATAAAAATTAAACAAGAAATTTTTTGCTTAACAGTGTGAAAAAAACAATAATAATAACTGATCTGGACACTCGACGCAGTAACCCCATCGTTGACAATCTCGACTTTTAGATGCCATTTTCAGTTTCATGGTAGTGTTTTATTTAAAAAAAAAACGATGATTTATACATGCATTAAATGATGGCAAATAAAGAGTTAAGTAGCATCGATTTATTTGCATGAAAAATGAGACAGAACGCATAAAAAAGAAGCCTTTTATGACTTCAGATGAATATGAATAAAATGATAAAATGTAATCGTAATGGTTAAAATTAGGATTGCAGACATTTCTCAGATCAAGGGTAACTACCAGGTACGTAATGGGTAATTACCATGACTTATGTTATTTCATGTTCTAATGTCTGCAACTCTAGTTAAAATAATAACAATAATAAATATAAAACAAAGCTTCACTTACCTACTAGAATAATTTTTATTATTGCTATTTAACAGTTTCATCTAATAAAGAGCATGATATCGTAAGTGTTTCATTATATGTTGTGATCCTGTTTTGCAATCTAAATGAAGCCCATAAAAATAAATATTAATAGAATTTACCTTTGTTTGGGACAAACGATGTAATATGATTTATATTTTAAAATAGAAAGTAATTTTGAAATAAAGATTCGACTTGTCGTTCTGTAAATTGTTATTCGTGCTACTCACCAACTGTTTGAGTTCAAAGAAGGGCCATTTACTCTTCATAGAACTTCATGACATTACATATACTGTTGGTGCATAGTGTTAGTGAGGTTTGTTTTTTTTTATTATAACGATAATACCAAAATTTGAATTTAACCAATGTTATCGAGCATGTTACATATATGTACGTAATTCAGGGGATCAACACTAACTTGATAGCAATATGTAGTGAATTTTTACAAAAATTTGTTAATAAGGATGACAAAATTTAAAATTTAGAAGAAAGCAAGTTTCTCGACAATTCCGACGAGCTCGTTCTAAAGAATAGAGAAGGCAACCTATTTCTATTAAATGTATCGCTTGAAGAAAAAATCGAATTGACTAAATACATACTAATGGATTTATTTTTTTATAGGTATTTATGTGGGCAAAGACAGTAAAGTTAACAAAGATAGAGATGACATCTTTAACTTCCTGTTGATCGGGAAACAATAACGATGGTTTGCAAAAATTATCACCAAGAATCACTCAACAGACTGAATTGTGAGAAGTTCTAAAACTTTTAGTCCAATACAGAGGTTTCTGGTCTCCTCATTAATCAGCACTTCTTGGTCTCGATGAGATTAAAATTTGGGGCAAATGGAATACCAAAAAGTTGAACAAGAAGCCATATGAAAACAATGGACTCTATCCAGTTTTAAGGCTCAGAGATTAAAACTTTCTCGGACAAAAAATTTACCAATAGAGTTTATTTAGATCAAAAAGCTCCCCCTACAAAATACGAAGGAATCGACTCGCAACTTTAGTCGGAAATTGGATGATGCCTTCATCAAACAATTATAATGTAATGTCGAATCCATTCCGTGAGCCTCGCCATAATGGCTATTATTGCTGCAAGATTACGTATATAGTTCTCAAAAAATTATAGGCGCGCGTACAACAACAACCGCATTATTGCAGTAGGCGACCTACGATTATCCGCAATAACATCAAAACCCATCAATAGATTGCATTTTATGGATTCAATAAATTCCATGACTAAGAAGTAAATACAAAATTTAATTCGTGAATATGATAAGAGAATTGGGTGCCGTCCAACATCCTGACTACCACATCCTATATGTCCGACAAACGTAATCCCGAAAATACAACATCCCGAAACTCCAATATCCCGAAAATTCAACATCCCGAAATGCCACTATCCCGAAAACCCAACTTCCCAAAAAACCAACTTCCCGAACACTAACATTCTAATGGTTCAAAATTCCGAAATGTTAAAAAATGACAATTCAAAATTCCAACACATGAATCACGAAATTGCATTTAAATTATATGTCAAAAAAAAAAAAAACGGCTCCCGAACTACCTCCGACCTGGAAATACTATATTTTAACGCTAAATTTAATTTAAGATTGGGATTAGGGTTAGTAGAGAACAAGGTTATAAAATTATTATATATCATTATAAAGTTGGAACGTTAACACAAACGTAGATCAATGACCAATAAATTTTAAATGTGATTTTGAACCATTGAGGGTTGTGAATTTTCAGGATTTTGAAGTGTTAGGATTTTGAATTTAGGGATTTGAACTGTTTGTGTTCGGGATATTGAGCATTCGGGATGTTGTATTTTCGGGATGTTAAACTTTCAGAATATTGGGCTTTCGGGATGTTGGATTTTCGTGATGTTGGATTTTCGTGATGTTGGACTTTCGTGATGTTGAATTTCGGGATTTCGTTTGTCGGGCATATTAACTGTCGGGATGTCGTACCGGATCCGATAGATAGGTCTTTCCTGATCATATTCACGAGTTAACTTTTGTATTTACTTAGTCATGAAATTTATTGAAAATAATCAAATTGCAATTTTGTCACACCATCCAGTCAGGTTTTTCATGCAACAAAAATAGCATTGTGACAAATTCGGACATGTACGTACATCAAAGAAAAAAATATGCACGTAAATGATCAATTATTTGCAGCAAGTTTTTGTGTATCAGTACGTATAGAACCGATGTGTTTGGAAGAAGTTTCTTTTCTTTGTCAGTGAAAATGTTGTCTGGAGTTGATTTGCCGACTTTGCCTGCACAACTTTCTCGTTTTACGTATATCTCGGTTAATCCAATATACTTATTCAATTACATTTACGTAACTACGTATGTATTAAATAAAACACATGAAATTTTGATCGTCACACTCTTTGATGTCGAAATTTAGCGGGTCTGTATGATACATGTACGTAATATATTTGATTTTCAAAAGAAAAATAGTTGGAACTCGAATGGAATGAATACTTTGATATAATTGCATCAATTTAATAAATTATTACTTAATCGTAAGTTAGATTTTTTTTCGAATTTCATTTAATAAAAAAATGTAAAGAATAAATTTTGACTCTTTTATGATAATTTATCATTATAGCAAAAGAATTGAAAATAGCGAAGAAAAAATATTTTATTAAAATTAAATATGGAATGATTATATTTTTATTAAGGAAATAGCACTTGGCTTGACATTCAAAAGAGATGCAATATTACCTTAATAATATTTAAAAATACGTGTTTCAATATTTTGTTTCTTAAAGTGATAGTTCTCGTTTACCCATAAAATTCGCTCAGTATTTGAACATTTCCAACGGTAATCGAAATGTCATAATATTTGGAATTTTATAAAATTTCGCCAATTTATTAGAGTGTGAAGTCAATAATAAGTTAGGCTTCATTGATGCGAGAGCGAATACGTAAATGTAAAGACTACGTAATGTTGATTAATGTTGAACCAGTTTTCGGGAACTAGCTAACAAATTCCGCATATGGTAACGTGACGAATTGATAAACCAACTCGAACAATAGCAGAAATTTTCAATACCATATTTAAAGTATCATTTAATGGACGAATTTCTTGCATTTTAGAAAAGTGGTAATTTTCATTGTAAAAATCTCCTCTGTCTTTGATTATGGAATCAGTGGCGAATTTTCTATTCATGTACATGAACGTAATTGAGGTTTTATACATGTATAACGCTCATAAAAAGGAAAGAGTTTCAACAATACATGTACGTACATATCATGCAAATAGTTTTATGCATTATTTGTTTTTATAGATGTAAAAACATTTCTATTGCGAGTCAGTTATTGAAAGATAACTTTATATTATTTATTGATAAAAGAAAATCTAGTACACTAGTAAATATACTATGGCGCAACTAATAGAGTAAAACCGGAGCATTGCACCGAGTGATTTAAACCAGTTTTGGTTGACTTCATTAAAAACTTTAAATTAATATGTACTTGTTTTATATATGGATAATTAGCTTTTCACTCTAAATTGAAGCTTTTTTATTATGATGAAGAGAGCTCGTAATTGAAATACATGTCTTTCTTATTACTTTAATATGTTAATGGCTTGCAATTTTTTTAATTATATAAAAATAGATTATTTGTGATTTGAATGGGGTTTTTTTAACAAACATGCGCAGTAATTTATAAAAAATGTTTATTAATAATTGCATGGAAAATGAAAAAATCTGAGCAATGGTTCTAGAAGTCTAAAAATGATCTCAACCGGGACAAAGGATTTCTTATTAGCATGATATAAGGATGATTTATTGATTTTATTTTAGGTTTTTGAAGCTATTTACAGAACAAAGGATTAAGCATAGTAGAAATGCATATAATACTTTAAATTCATATATATATATAAAATGACAAAGAGAAACTGATATATGGTATCTGATCATAATATTATATTATTATATTATTATCTGAAACCAATTTTATCAATGACTCGATTTTTTTCTCTAGTTCAACAATGCGATTTTCTAATACCCTTACTTTCTCTTTACAGCATTTATTATATCCTGCTGAAGAAAAATTACTGTTACATGCTATTGAAAATTCCGCGTTATTATTATTATTAACAGCAGCAGTAGCAGCAGCAGTAGTAGTAGTAGTAGTAGTAGTATTATTATTATTATTATTATTATTATTATTATTATCATCAATAGTAATATTACTAGTACTATTGATATTATTGAGACTCGGAACAGAAGGGAAATCTGATTGAATAGATAGAATGGAAGAAAATAAAGCTTGAGAGGTCAATAGTTCCGGTGTTAAATTATCAATAAATTGAGTGTCCAAGTTGAGGTCTAAAGAAAAATAATTGTCATTTTCTAGTATTGGAGCATCAGTAGTGAATATGTTTGTGATATTTGGAGTGGATGCGGGGGTTTTCTCTTGTGAATCTGGTTGTGGATTTATTGTCACAGATTGTTTTGATGAAGATATTTCGTTGTTATTAACAAAGTCAAAATTAGAGTCACTCAAGTTACTCGAATTCGAAAACACCAATTCTAATTTGCCCGAATTATTTTTCGTGTTGGGAGAAGAATCTTCATCGTTAATTGAAAAAGCATTTGCAACAAAAAGTGGACTTCGTTCGTGGCAAATTTGTATATATAAATCTTTGGCTTCTTTTGCAATGCGTTGATATTCTCGTCGTACGTTCTCCTCTTCTTTAAGCCATGATTGTTTGACTAACGCTGAAAGTTGTGGTTGTGTTATCACTGGATGTTGGATCAAGCGAAGCTCTTTGCAAAAAGCCATGCGATAAGCGATAAACGCGTTGGGAATTCGTGATGTTTGACCGCTGGTCTCTAGTTTCGCGACAGCATTCTCAATGAGATTCATTGGTGTGACTTCGGGAGGGAAACGAACTTTAACTTCTGGCATTATGTGTCCTTTCTTACTTGGTGCGATTGTTCTCATTTTAAAGAAAGTTTAATTATTGAATTTTGGTTGATATTATTTCAAACGAATTTGAATCGCAAAAAGCCAGAAAGTGAGTTACGTGAGCTATTTATAAACATTTTTTTTATATGTACGTATGTATTATATTATATTTATGCATGTACCATAAAAATTTTTACATTTGTATACCAAGATGATAAAGCGGACTTCTTTGCATATTTAAGTTTCATATTTTTATTTCTCGGGCTATGCTTTCCAGAAACATGCAGTACTATTTTCGCTAGTTTACATACATTTGTTCCTATTGATCAATTAAATATCGCGTAAAAAGCGGGATTTGCGAAGTGACAACAATCACAAATTGTAACAGTACAGTTACTATAAACGTGCGCAGAAACAACACAACACTTCCGCAAACAGGTATAAAAAAGTAGAATGTTGTAATTTCTTTTTATTTGAATATTTGGCGTTTCTTTTTACTTGAATATTTGGCGTTTCGCCTACACTAAAAAGAAGTAACGAAAAACAGTCGACATAGAAAACGAGATATTTATTCTTGGAAATTCTTAATACAACAGGATCTTCTATTTTAGTTCTATTCGATGTTTCTGTGAATTCGAATTTAAAGTGAATTCAAGATTTTCTTGGCCGGAGTTTACTAATTAAATCGAAACTAACCAAAATGGTCAAGCATACATGTGCAGTTTATGGAAATTTAATTAGTTTGAGTTGCATTAAAATTTCTTTTTTTTGCGTGTGTTTAGTCTAAAAATAAATCAAGTGATAACCTTCAGGGTACTCTAAATTATGTGAGATACTGGACTGGCTTATAAAGATAACACATCATATGACTACGATTCTGATATGGTTAATCTTTTTCGCGAAGTATTGACTACGCCGCCGGAATAGAAGGGGTTCAAACAGATTGGGTTTAGGTAATTCGACTCCATTTTTAACGTATACATATATAACGATATGCCTGTACACATATAAAAAGTGTCGTCATAATGAAATAAAAAGCGGCTATATAGTTAGTATGGTTACTCTATAAAAGTATCGTTATAAAATAAACTATATTTTATATAGCAAATTTGATTATATATGTAATATGAGATATATTCTTGGACAAGGAAACCAAATTATAAATAGATATCTATGACAAATGAATTTGAAGCCAAGTTTGTATTTTGTATACCATAAAAGTCAAGACAATGGAAAGCTAAAATAGTAAATACTTATGAGAATAATTTATGCAACAAAATATTTATGGTTTTCTTGACGTTTATTCGCCTATATTTAAATAACTTATTTTTGTGGTTTAAAAAATCCGCATACTTTCCATTGTCTTTCATAGAGGGATAGTCATTTGGTCTCTTTATAATATAGAGATTGTTTTGCCCAAATAATTACGTATGAATTATATGAGTCATGAAGAACCATTAATAACCAACTATCCTTATATTGCTTTGAAACACCTGCAGTTATAATTTTTTTATTGGTCTCAAGTCTAGTGATTTAATTACTTTTAATCTAGTCGGTCCAGTTCCGAATTGTTCGACAAATAAGGTTAGAGATCATTGCTACGATTAGTTCAAATAAACCATGTGCATCTATTTAAAGTTTTTTGTTGATGAGACGACGATGAGTCCATGAAAATTTTAAATTTAACAATATGCCCACCCGTTAATATTACATCATCGGGACAGAGTTTAGTCCCCACGGAAAGTAATGGCGGAAAAATTTTTACATAATTGGTCACCTTAAAAAATACATGGAGTTTCTATAAATCTATCCCGAAATGTATCTTGCAGCAGTTGTAATGTTACGGGGATCTTGTGATTTATTAATATTTTTCTATAAACGGTAATTTTTGGGAGAGCAAGAGTTTTGGACGACAATTAGTGTTGCCTGTGCCGATATCTACGGATATCGTACTTTACGTTGGATTTTGGGTAAGTGTATGTTAAGATGTTTTCTTTATTTAATAATTCTAAACCTAATTGGGTTTTTAATTATCTATAACTATTTCGCGTTTCTTTACCAAGATCTTCTAAACGATGCCTTTTCTGGATCAAGGTCCTAACCGTCAGTTAATTTAATCAATTATTACGAGGGGATTTTGCAAGTCTTATTTTACTTGGAGAACAATTGTACGCAAAAATTCTGAATTCTTTTTATTGAGGCCCGTAGACCTTTCTCATATACATTTTTTTTGAGTTTACATATCAGTGTTAATTTTTTTTATGCGGCTACGATTAAGATAAAAAAAGAAAAATGCAATTCTGAGAGAAAAATAAAAGCATTGTTAAGAAAGTACATAAAATATAATTAAGTGTTTTGTCAAAAGAGAGATCGTAACAATTGAAGAGTAAATGCAAGACAAATTAACGAAAATGTTTAAGAGAGAAAATCATGTCATAGTTAAAAGAGAATACGAGATAAAACATTTACGAAAGAGATCCGTGATATAAAAAGAGAGAAACCGAGAGTAAAAAAGAGATCGTCGGTAGAACATTTAAGAGAGATCCGTGACGAAAAGAGAGAAAACCGTGATTAAAAAGGAAAATCGTGACAAAAATAACAGTGAACACAGATAGATTGTTTAAGAGAGAATCGTAACAGTAGTCATACATGTCCAGATCTAGAGAATTTTGTTGATCGTGAAGAGCATCAATTTTACTATGTTAAGGTTGTCTTCACTCATTAAGAAAAGTGTCCAGATTAAAGAATTGGGTTAGAAACCATATATACTAGCACTAGTTTATAAAATAAAATTGTGAAATAGCATTGCTAGCAATAGTACGTATTTGTAATATTTTTTTAGCATGTCAACGGCATTCAAGCCTGCGTTAACATGGAAGGAAAATACATCATGTATTGATTTTTTAAGAGCATGATACTTTACTCAGAAGCATTCCAAAAATAAACTATTTTGCGTGGTTGTTCTTTAAAAGTAGTTCTTTCTAACCGTCATTACTTCATTTAGCATTACAAGCTTTGAACTTGACATAGAGAGACAAATAATTTTCAAATCTGAATAAGATGGCTCAAATGTTTCTGGCGTTTCAGCTGAGAATGTTCCAAGGTATATATATCTTATATTTGCACACTTACTTTATCACAGTGAATAATGTACTATTTGGTACCAAGGACCATTTTGAATAATTTTTTGGAAACAATATAATAAAGTTTATCAGGATACTTTGATGAGATTTTATTTATATGATTCCATTTTATAACTAACCAAATAAATATTACGAGCTAAACTTATCATTTACATTAATAATATTAAGTAACTCTTTTAATTTTACCATAATTACCAATTTCACTACTACAAAAACAATAATAATAAAAATAAAATTTGCATCTCAAAGACACTAAGTGATAACACAGCTAGTAAAATTCTCCTTTCAATGCAGTCGAGAATCTAGCAAATATCTACATGGTATTCAAAACGTTTTTCAAGAATTGTCTCAGAAATTAGAAAAAGCTATTTTTCATGAATTTATTGTCAGAGTTGCATGAGCATATCACACCAACAGATGTTTAGTTATCAAAGACTTCACAAGGGACTTTAGACAAAATGTTTTTATTGTAATTGAACTCAGAACCTTCTTGTACACAGTTTATTATAATATACGTTAACAAATTTATATTTAATTAAATCCTCAATGAAGTTTATCATATCTTTGAAATCGAAGACATCACATAAAAACGATGATAATGAATTTGTAGTAAACAAAATGAAGATCGTTTTTCATTTGTGTTCACAAGCCCAAGGCAAGCTCAAATTATATGCTTCGAAAGCTCGATTTCAACTAACGAAACCAGCTTTTTTCTTTCATGACACTTGCGAACGCAACATATACGACTTAAATCGATATAGATAAACATGATTCGAATAACTTTTACCCATGTCACCAAAACGTATACAGCATAAAGTTGAGCTCGTATTGATTGGAAGAAATAACAAACCACTGAAAAATAAAAATGTTATAAAAATTGATATATATTTTTAAAACTAATCGTTATTGAATTATGAAAAAATCAATATTATTATGTTCAATTTTGATACGTCTGGCTTAAAATCTTAACATTTATATAACCAGAGTTTGACGTCTCAAAATTGAATAAAATAGTATTGATTTTTTCATAATTATATTCCTATAAATATATTTATCAATCTTGATAACATAACATAACATTTGCATAGGAAATCGCGGAATTTTATTATTGAAGCTTCCGATGTGTAGTTGATTTAATTGGTCCACTGAACACATAAACATTATAAAAATTCGCAATTAATAAACTTATTTAATACTGCGGATGATCGTGGATTGACCAGTATTGCAACTTTTTTTATTTATTTCATTTCAATTCTTATTAACAGACTCGTAAAGAGACGTTAATTAAATAGGGAATTGAACAATGAGAAAAGTTTATATAATTGTAATTTTTTTTGTTTTACTATTGACTGTATTACATGTAACCACAAATTCTTTTCGTTTGTAAAAAATGTTAGAGTTGTATCACAAGTACTACTCCTTTAAGGAAGATACCACACAGCCTCAAGAATCTATCGAATTCTGTTACAATAGAGCGTTCGAAATCAATTGTGTAATGTTTATATATTCATTTAGGATTGGAGTATTCAGCAAAGCACACGTACATGTAACTACGTATCTTTCTCAGCTTAGAAAAATGCAAGACGTCCACTCCGACAATTTTACCGAAAAGGGGATATCTGATTTAATGCACACTAATGAAAAGGTTGACATCATCAAATTTGTGGAATATGTCTTTTGTAGATCTTGACGATAGATTTTTTAGTTTAGAAAAGAGCAACTTGCTATAATTTTACGGGAAAGATGTATTGATAGGAAGATGATATTTTCACACAAGATATTTGAATTCTAATAACGCAGACACATATATATTGACGACCTTTAATGTCAAAAAGGTTAACATTGTCGAATTCGTGAGATAGAGGAATTATTGCTGACAAGTAATTCTCTTTGTAGATTGTTATATGGAGACAACCAACTTGTGTATATTTCGGTATTTGTTTTAAGTATATGATACTTGAGTTTTTTATAAAATCACACCAATTTTTCAAATAGGTTTAAAGTAACAAATTTGTTGATCTATGCAGCAAATTACAGTATGTGAAAAAATTGTTATTTGATATATCTTTCATATCTATCATTTTATCATTAGTAAGGATAATGAACTTCCTTTCCATTTTTGCTTCTAGCTAGCAAATAAAAATATGACAACTATTCCTAATGATATTTTTGATAACAAGAGTAAATGTGGTCAAAACAGATATAAATTCATAAATTGTCTTTTTTTGCACTTCACAAATTTATTAAAAAAGTATGAATTATTTTACGAATTCATCTCAAACTCTTCCGCTAAGAATATTTATCTCTCATGCACGACAAAGTCAACGTCAACAACAATTGCTGTCACAGCAACCACAGCTACCGCCAGGCAATCCAGACACAGTTCAAATGATATTGCGAGGTACATCAGATATCTTAAATGGCAACGCTAATCCAACAAACACAAATGACAACAATACTTTGGCTGTACTCACAGAATCGTATTCTTAGAATTTTTGTCTTTATTATGTGTCTTCCGTTCTATTACGCATAACTTTTCATAATCCATTATTTGTGTCTTTACCTTATTATAGGCTTTTCTATGCTTGTAAGTGTTTGTTAAATTTTCTTTTCCTGTCATATCGATATATAAACTATCAGATGCCCAAATCTTTATTGTATATATGTCGAACTATAATTATCATGATCTCTTTTTATTATATTTATTTTTGGTTTTTGAATAATAATTTTACATTATAGGTCCGTCAGCTTAAATTTTTGCCTTTATAAACCTCTTCCTTTTGACTTATAAATGTAAATTAGATAAAAAAATATACTAATTTATAAGGAATAATGGTTAAATTGATTAATCAGTGTTCTGCACAGCACAAATTAGAAATAGAAAATAAAGCTGGCAATAACTATCCTAAACTAGCTGGCATTAACTAATGCATTTGCATAATACTGACTGGAATTGATTGAAAAAGATTATGTTAATTTTTTCGATTTACCGAAATAAGTACTATATGACAAGGCGACTAAAATTATTATTTTATAAATACTCATTATTCTTAGTTTTGCAATAAATGCATGCATTACCTTCCGTTTTTTAACATTTGACAGGAATTCCGAAGACTTATACTGGCTTATAAATTAAATCATATTACGCTATATTAAATATTCTAATTTATTCTGTATCCATGAAAATAATAACAAAAATGATAAAATACATACAGTCAAAGCTCGCTATAGCGATATAGTCAGAACAATTAGTAAAAATTCTGCAAATATCGAAGGAAATTTTATTAATGTTGGCATCATTATATCAAGCTTTAATTAGTATCGTTATAACAAATATCGTTACAGTGGTGATGCAACAAATTTTGAAATTATATGGTGCTAGTATATGTACATTTATTTTTAGTGATACAAATCATGCGTGCATTTATGTACCCACCCGATTTGGTTAGAATAAAAACAGCCAATAAGAACGCATAAATTTTTGATCAACGCGGCAAAACAAACCGACACAAAAAAAAATGAAAAATGCGAGAAATACAAGAAACAAATGTCTAAATCTGGTCCGAAGTACTAATAAAAAATGTCGAGAAGACAATTTTATATATAACCTGGATCACCATCCCTAACCGTAACTGTAACCGTAACCTTAATCTTTGTTACAGTAGAAATTTCCGAAAATATGCAATGCTATTGGTTATTACCAAATCGGGTGGGATGTACATAGATGCATCCACAAATTATGCAGAGTGTTTATCACGTGAAAACCATTTTATTGATCAATAATTTTGATTGGTAAGGCATGTATTAGGCATACCTATTATTAGTACCACGTGATATGTGATGAAGTAATAATACTTTACCTGAGTCTATATCAAATAGATATGAGGTAATAATGTCAGAACCCTTACCACGTGAGAAATATTCTATTGGTTAATAATTTGATTGGGTACGACGCGGCAATATTAGATACCATATTCGTAAACGATTAGGAAACATCTACATAGAAAAACCGGAATTCCGCCTAGAGGTTTCCACATAGCGCTTACCCCTTTTTATCTGTGAATTTTTAACAGTGTCGAACTGTAGAAGAATAAACATGTTGCTAATAATACATAAGGATTTTCCATTTTGATGTGTTATTTTCCATGTTCAATGGATTTAATTCTTTATTTTATGCATAATAATGAAAGGAATTACAATACTTTGTTTATTTAATCATAAAGTTATATTGTATTTTAGTAAGAATAAAAACTCTTAAATTTATGTGCGTGTTTATACATATAATTAGTAGCTTTTCATCCTATATAGAATATTTAATATTATGATGAAGAGAGTTCGTATTTGAAGTACATACTTTTGGCTATCTTTGATATTACTTTGATATGTTATGACTTTCAAACAAATAATCTATTTGAAAAATTGTAAATGTTTTTAACAAAAATGGCAGTAAATTTTATAAGAAATCAAAGTCTATTTTACAATTGTATGTATAAATGAAAGATTTCAGGCAATGTCTGGAATGTAGAAAAGATTCTTTGATTGATTTTATTTTAAATTTTAAAACTATTTACGGAAAACAACGAATAAAAGAAATGTATATAATACATTGGTGAAGATTAAATATCTAAATTATAATACTGTCATATTATTGTATTATCGTATTATTATATTACAATATTATAATATAGTCTATCTGAAAACAAGTTTGTCAATGACTCAAGTTTTTCCTCTAATTCTACGACGCGATTTTCTAATACTCGTATTTTTTCTTCACAACATTTATTATATCCGACTGAAAAAAGATTGCTGTCGCTTATTATTGAAGATTCTACGTTGCTATTGTTGTTGCTGTTGTTATTGTTATTATTATTAGCAGCAGTAGTGGTATTAGTAGTATTGCTATTACTATTATTGAGACTCGGAACAGAAGAGAAATCTGATTGGATGGATAGAATGGAAGAAAATAAATATTGAGAGGTTAATAGTTCTGGTGTTAGATTTTCAGTATCGAATATGTTGGTGATTAGATTATCAGTATCGAATACGTTTGTGACATTTGGAGAAGTGGAAGTTGTGTTTGTGACATTTGGAGAAGTGGAAGTTATGTTTGTGACATTTGGAGAAGCGAAAGTTGTGTTTGTGACACTTGGAGAAACAGAAGTTGTGTTTGTGACATTTGGAGAAGTGGAAGTTGTGCTTTTTTCATGTGAATCTGATTGTTGATCTTTTGCCACAGGCTGCATTGAAGATAAAAATATTTCGTTGCTATTGAAAAGATCAAAATTAAAGTCTAATGTGTCCGAATCATTTTTCGTATCGGAAGGATAATAATATTCGTCATCAACTGATAACATATTTGTAATAAAATGTGGACTTTGTTCACGGCAAATTTGTACATATAAATCTTTGGCTTCTTTTGCAATGCGTTGATATTCTCGTCGTACGTGTTCCTCTTCTTTAAGCCATGATTGTTTGACCAATGCCGAAAGTTGTGGTTGTGTTATCACTGGGTGTTTAATCGAGTGAAGCTCCTTGTGAAAAGCCATACGATAAGCGATAAACGCATTTGGAATTCGTGATGTTTGTCCGCTAGTTTCTAGTTTCGCGATGGCTTTCTTGGTGAGCTCGATTGGTGTGATTTCTGGAGGGAAACGAACTTTAACTTCTGGCATCATGTATCCTTTCTTACTTGGTGCGATTGTTCTCATTTTAAAGAAATTTTAATTATTGAATTTTGGTTTGATATTATTTTCAAACAATTTGAATCGCAAAAGTCCGAAAGTGAGTACTCGCACTATTTATAAATAAATTTTATATGTATATGCTTGAAAATTTTAGCATTTTCTATGTGCCAAGCTTTATAAAGCAAGACTTTTAGTTTCATATTATATTTCTCGGACTATGCTTTCCAGAAGTAAGCATTATTTGGATTGTAAATGCAGTTAACCCGTTGCTCACAAGTTTCTAGAATGTGGAAGTTTCTTTTTATTTGAATTGAATTGAATATTTGGCGTTCCGAAACATGAGATGTTTTTTGGCTGTGAGGAATCGAATACGTTTGAACTTATCAATTTTTTCTTGGCTCGTCACTAAATCGAGCCGAGAACAAAACCAAGAGATAATGGAATGTTCGAAACTAACCAAAATGTGTCGATCTTCAAGCCAAGCCAAATTATTGTAAAACTTTCCTTTTTCTGTGTAAAAACGACAATCAATTAATGTTAATGATCATGATAATCGTTAAATAATGAATCTATCGTCTGATATCGATATGACCAATAAACATTACTCTGAAATCTTCGAAGATATAGTAAAAAAATTATATAAATCTTAAGCGGAGTTCAAAAAAATTGGATTTCATAATTTCTCGGGTAATTCGACTCGCCTGAACAGCATAAACCATCCAATTTTAATAATCAATAATTATATAAAAACTATAATTATTTTGTTATAATGATTGAAATTTTACTAATATAAAATAAATAATTCTGATTGGTCAAATTATTATTATGTATAATAAATTTGGCGTCTTGGCGCAGTATTGGATGGTTTATGCTGTCGGGTACTGTAGTAACAAACTATCCTTTATTGATTTGAAATACCTTATGAGCGCCTTTACAAGTCCAGTAATTTTTTTATTGGTCTTTCTTAAATCTACTAGTTCAATTTCATATAATTTTTAAGCCCAGAGGTTATAATACCACTCTCGTTAATATGACATCATTAAGACAAAGGTTTATATCATAATAATGAGTGTCGTAATATCGAATATGGCATAATAACGAATATGGCATAATAAAGAAAATATCATATGTCATAATAACGATATGTTACGATAACAAATATAATAAAATAAAAATAAATATGAGATAGTGTAAAAATAAATATAAAACAGAGTTGTCTTATCACATTGACGCGCGAATGTCATAGTAACCGGTTGCAAGACTATATTGTTATTAACATCTCCACTCTAATTTTAAATACCAATCAAAGGCATTTTTTGTCCTTTTGACTTCCATCACAATAACCATAATTATATTGTTCTCTAGCATTTCCATCCTTTGCTGATTTCAAATACCAATTAAATGCGTTTATTATCTTGTTGTATTTCTATATCTTCTTGATAACAATCAAGTTTATCCTTTAACATGTTATCCTTTGCAGATTTCAAATACTATTCAAATGTTTTTTTATTATTGTCTTGAGTTTTTATATCATTTCAATATACAGCTATCAAGCTTACATTATTCTCTAGTATCATCGCCTTCTATTGGTTTCATATACCATTCAAATGTTCATTTCGAGTTCCTTTACCATTTTGATAAAATTACATTGTCCTACCCACTGCTGATTTTCCTAAAGCATCTATCTTCTAGTCTATAGAGCCACACATTTTGGTACTGTACAGGATGCTCTAAAATTAGAAAACTACTGTACTGTATTTTGCTCGGGATATAGGTTATATAAATAATACAGTACAGTACAGTTTATGTTAATATAAAATACAACCAGCACTATATAAAAGTTTTTAGCAGTACAGTTTATAAATTTTACATAAAATGAAAACTGTTAAAAATTACATCTTTAACTACTGTTGGCACTATGAAATTTAAACAACAATTTTTTATTGATCGCGTTTAAGCGTTGTTTAATTGTAATATTCTAGACATGATAGAAATATAAAATTCACGAGTTTAGTTTAAACTTAAAACTTGGAACTTTATTATGCAAATAACGTCAATACACAGCAAATATTTTAATTGATTTTTTTATACATGAAAGCTATCATCATGAAGTTTTAGATATATACTCAGAAAAACCTAGTTACATATTGATATAGAGATAGAAATTGATTTTGTTCTTTAATATATTTTTTCTGATATTATATTTTCTTTTTACTTGTGTACGCTCAATTATATTCTTTTAACATTAAGCTCTAAATAATTAAATTGGTTAACACAACTAGAAGAAAAGAATATTGAAAAAGAATTCCCCGTCAGATCGTAAACCAATTATTTGTCCATGTTGAAATTCCGTGAGTTCTGTGGTCTTTACCATTAAAAGCAGCCACGCGATCAACTTACGCATCATTGTAACTGCGATTTAAAATCTATTTGGAGGCGTTGAATAATGATTGATGGACTAATAAAAGGATCTATTGAACACAAAATTGCAGTCATTTGTTTCAGCGCATCATACAAAAATCTTTCACGTGATGCTAACATCATATAAAATATCAATTTATAATGATCACTGTTAACTTCTGAAACTTTATTCAAGTAATAATGTTCAATGAATAGGCGGATAATTTAAATATTTCAGTGAATATGTATACAATGGCGCTCAAAAGTAATCAATCACTGAAACGAAAAAATAAAAAATTTAATTTTTATTTGGTCTTTATTTACGTCAAACCAGTGATGCATTTCTTTTGATCGATCCCCCTCAAAATAAAGTATATAAGCACATCAAAAAAAATAACAAAACAATACGCACACCATATATATAAAATACACCCAAGAATATACTCTTTTATCCCATACCATTCAAATAATCATGGCATATATCCCCATCGAAAAAAGAGCCAAAATTTATATCCTTCTTAAAGAAGGATATTCCTCTCATTTTATTGCAAACCATGAAAATCTTTCCCAATCCCCCGTCATAATAATAAAACAAAAAAAAGATACTCATGATGCCTCTAAAGATTTACCAAAACCAGGTCATCTTAGAATTTTTACTGGTCGCGATGAACGAAATACATGTATCATACGTCTAATTTCGAATGGTTACTGCAGTGCAGCTTCCATCCAATAAAAATCTGAAATCTGAAGACAAAATCGAAGTCAGCGCAAGCACAATAAAGCGAAATTTATATCGTAATGTTTTTTTTTACGAATTAAGCGAAAGAAACCATATCTTAAGAAAACACATCGAATTCAATGTTTGAATTTCGCAAAAAAAATCAACACTGGACAACTGATGACTGGAGCAAAGTTATAAATCAAAATTTATGATTTTTAATTCAGATAGACGTGAATACTAGTGGAAACGTGATAATGAACCACTAAAAGAGCACCATGTGAAACCTGCAGTAAAATTTGGGGTTGCTTTTCATCCTTTGACGTTGGCAATCTCATGCGCATTTATGATCGTATGGGTACCGAGAAATCTTAAATGATGATCTTTTAGGAGGTATGATATTAATAAGACAATGATCAAAACACACGGCAAACTCTACATATGATAATGAAATTCGTATACTTTAATGGCCTCCCCAATCACCCGATCTTAACCCAATCAAACCAAATAGACCGGCATTTGAGAAGATCATCCATTGCCATTCATACTCAAGGTCAACTCTGGAATGCGATACAAAAAGTCTGGATCGAAATGGATAATGCCTTTTTAACAAGTCTAATTGAAAGTATGGAAGAGCGTATCCAAGATGTAATCAACACAAAGGGTGGATACATTAGATGGTAAAGAATATTTAGTTAAAATTTGGTGGATTTTTATTCGCTAGTTAGTTAGAAATTTCAATTTGAATTTTTGTAATC